TACATATATAGGTACTACAGGTAGACCTCTCTCAGATTTGTTCATTTCATGATGATTTTGTTCTTCAATTATCTAATTTTAATGAATATTTTTGATAAAAAGTCTGATTGCTTTACTACTATACATATTGTTCATTTTCTAATGATATCTTCTGTTCTTTAATTGCAATGTGCATTGATAACAGCGGAGCTATCTCAGCCGACAGGCTGCTAGTTTATTTTGTGATGATATTTTCAATTCTCTGTATTCTAGAAAAAAAATTTTTGATCAAAATTGATGTATGTCTAACTTGGATGGACCTTTATTAGATTAGTTATTTGTGTGCATTAGACAAACACTCTGCTGAAATAGCTGCTATTTTGACTGTCAGGTCATTTGTGTTCACGATACATCTGGACTATGTGTATTTTAGAAAGTGATATTCAGAGTTATGCAACATTTTGGAGTAGGCAGCTAGGTTTAACCAATTTTTGGGGTGAAAACTGAAAATTTACTTAAATTTTGTCTGCTGGCTTCAAAATTAGGATTCATTTCTATAAATATTGAAGAATACAAGAAAAAAATGCAGAAAAATTTGGGATAGAAAATCTGGTGATGAAAAAGGTTAAAAATACATAGGAGCCAGTTTGACAAGTCAAGATGGGAACATTAAATGTTGTTGATTGTGAATCCCAAGAAGATTTATTACCTGAACTGAGAGAGCTCTTGCTAAATTATGGAGATTTGTGTCCATTTTTGTTTGTTTTATATGTATGTCTGAATCAAACATCTTCAAAAATAATTAATCATGTATCACAGAACAAATATATTTATTCGTATTTGACTTCACAGGTTGAAACATCAACAAAAAAAACAGAAGAGCTGAAATTTGGTTATACAAACATAGAAAAGATGTTACACTGTCCACATGACATGACACACTGGAATGAGGAGGATAGTATGGAGACCGGTATGTAGTCTGTTCATTCCTACATTTATTCATCCGCTGAACATCCAAATTTTTATTCAACATGTTGAATAATTTTATGTGATTTTTTTTCTGTAATTTTGGTGCAAATGAACATAATTTTCTACTGCCTACAAGTCTTGATCAAAATGTTTGAAAAACTATAAAAAAAAATTTTATTTTGTGAAAAGTTACAAAAATTTAGTTTCGGTATGGTAGTAAAAATAATACCTCAAGTTGTTTCTGTAACTCATGATGTGAACTTTGACTATCCATTTCATTGTCTCAGATCAACCTGTAGTGATCGCCCAATGTTAAAGCCATCAGTTCTTGGTTGGATGATAATTTCTGTTTCAAAAATGTTTTAGGCTGAATGAGGTGTTCATTTGCAAGGTCTTTTTTAATGCAGAACGTGAGCAAATTTCATTAGCGAATTACTTTGTTATACCAATGGATTGTTTGGCTGTGAAAATGTTGAGTTTTTGAACATAAATCATAACATACACTGCTGGCAATATTCCTATGAATGCTACAGTTTGTTACGATCACTTTCTTTCAGCTCCCTCTGTGCAACGATCACAAATTGCTTGATTTTAAACTTAGCATATAAGCTCGCATGTTCAAATTCAGGCAGCCTTATTTAGTGATATTACTGCTTTCTGATTGGCTATTTCTCAAATATTCATTAGCATATTTGCTTTCACATTCAGATTCAGGCTGCCTTATTTGGTGATATTACTGCTCTCTGATTGGCTATTTCTCAAATATTCATTAGCATATTTGCTTTCACATTCAGATTCAGGCTGCCTTATTTGGTGATATTACTGCTTTCTGATTGGCTATTTCTCAAATATTCATTAGCATATTTGCTTTCACATTCAGATTCAGGCTGCTTATTTGGTGATATTACTGCTTTCTGATTGGCTATTTCTCAAATATTCATTAGCATACTTGCTTTCACATTCAGATTCAGGCTGCCTTATTTGGTTATATTACTGCTTTCTGATTGGCTATTTCTCAAATATTCATTAGCATATTTGCTTTCACATTCAGATTCAGGCTGCCTTATTTGGTGATATTACTGCTTCCTGATTGGCTATTTCTCAAATACTCATTAGCATATTTGTTTCACTTTCAGATTCAGCGCCAATCAGCAATCAATCTGCCTTATTTAGTAAAAAAGATGCCAAAGGATTGGTTACTTCTAATCCCATCATTAGCATATTTGGTTATTCTGTAAATAAAATGACAGCTGGACTGAAGAAAGTGGAAGTCATAAAAGCATCATTTGTGAGTCCATTTGAAAAGGTAACCAATCGTTTAAAAATCACTGATCTCTCGCGTTACCTACCAAATAAAGTTATTATTACATATTTTTTGACCTCCGTGCATGCGACCGGACCTGTATGTTAGAAATTCCTGGACCAATCACAATCAAACTTCACACATACATCATACATAATACATCTCTCAATACTCAATCATTTTAATGTTAAACAATCATCATAATCATATTCCTGACATATTTATGTTCCAGCTATATTACTATAAACAAAACTATATATCTAAAATTCGATAACTAACGGGGACATTTTTTTTTTTAAAGATTGATGGTGTTGAATACCGTCAGTGCCTGGATACGGCGAGATTAGTTGGGTTACTGGCCACAGAGCAAGGGTTCACCCTGTCTACTTTGATGATGAGTTTCTTTTTTCCCGTTTGCCCAATAACTAAATAAAGTCAAGCTTATGGCACACCTCATTAAACTATTTGACAGTCAATTAGTACATATTAAAGACCTTTTTTGTATGTTATGAACCTATTCATCAATTTGTAATTGACACAGTCATTAAAAAAGGACAACAAGGGACTATGTCTTTGGATATTTCTTTTGTTTTTTTTGAAAATTTTGTCAAAAACTATTTTTAAAAAGTGTTCATTTTAAACTTAAAGATTTT